GCTATACTTGGCGAACATTGCATATTAGATGCTTACATGTAATGCACAAGAGATTAACAGCGTTCTTTGTTGGTTCGCCAGATATCGTAACATGACCACTGAACTTAAGACCTTCCATTTGCAAGGTCACAGTGATTACTGTGGCCTGATGCCTAGACGGGCCGCGGAAAAGTGATGCGGAGCCATTCGTGTGCGAAGAAACCACTTAGTGGTTATTAGCTCACACATACCACCCCTCAAAAAGTCTCGGCGCGACCCAAACCGCTACCAAATGGATCTCAGCTCAGTGGAAGCTCGCAAAAAGCTTGCTATGGTATCGGAGCTGGTTGGAGGCTTCCAAAAAGCATCTGGTGTGAGCAGGCTGTACGTAAGGTAGAATCATCGCATGTCGTTGAGTGTTATCGTTAAGACGCGATGATCATTTCCTCTTCGCCCGATTTCCCCAGAGAATTGCACCGATCTGGGTGAGCCGCAAACAGTTGATCGCAGACATTTTTGGTAAGGGTACTTGAACCCTGGTGTTGCAGGGATCCGCCAGTTGTGACCAACATGCAGACTGTTAGCCTACTTCCAGTGCTGGGCCCTAGATAGCTCCATCTCTTACCAATGCAATGCTTTTTTCTGCTACGCCTTATTACTACTTTAGTCCCCTGCATCACCTCGTCTCCCAGTGGCTGCAAGAAGCGGTCCCACTTGACGCCCAATAGTTCGGAAAATTCTAGACCAATCGCTCTTGATGGCAACCTGGTAGGGCCTGGCATCAAACGGCCCTTCAACGATGAACCTAGTTAGTAGCCCGGTGCTTTGCCTGTTCCTGAAATAGTCACCTTCCTGATTCTACTTGTACCTGTCAGAGTCATAAAAGTATCGAGCACGCCCGCTGCTTCTTGACTCAAGAGTTGTTATGCTATAGAGAGCATGGCTCTCGAGTTTCAGTATTATCTTGAGGATCGTAAGCGATCACTAGGTCATACTATCATAGTACAATAGGGCTATCTTAACATAATATGGCACACCACTGATGAAATAAGAATGGGCATAGGATGTCTACACCTGTATATCCATGCCTGGTGGTTAGGTGTTTGGATATTGATTTGGTGGGTGGCTCCTTTGGCTCGCGTAGACTTCGTTGTAAAATTGCCCACGGCCAACAGCACAACGCCGTGATCCTGCAGTCAGCACCTCCTGAGCGGGTCAGGACTTCTCCAAGGTAAAATGGAAGGGTTATCAGCCCGAGATATTGTATTCTCTCATTCCTATCCACTCCTTTTCTTTTCTCTCTACCTTTGATCTACTCGACAATAAGTGGTATCGTAGCCAGCCGCTGCAGACCTTTCGTCTGCGTCCTTTCGTTGATCACTCTGAATATTGACACTCATTACGGCTTCGGCCATTACACGCTCTCTACCAATTTTGTTAATATCTAATTACACTTGGGCCGAAAATGGGGTTAAAGCATTCTTTACTCGTAGCTGCGACGGTGGCTGTCCCAGCCCTCGCCACTTTTACTCCTGACTACAAGCTAAACACCTACTGGGCAAGTTTAGAGTTATCCAACGCGACTAGGAGCAATGGCTACTGACTATAATTTATACAGGGACAATCAGGTGTTGGTGACACACTCGCTCAATACTGCGCTTCATCAAGCATTGATTATGTCACACTCGCTTTCGTTAACAACTCGCCCGAACATGGCAATGGCACCAACTATCCCGGCACGAACTTTGCCGCACATTGTGCCGCTGATGTCTACGTGAAGGATAACCAAAATTCAAAGCTCCTTAGCGGCTGTTCCTTCATTAAAGAAGATATCCAGACATGTCAAAAGCTAGGAAAGAAGGTGTTGCTGTCGATTGGAGGAGAGTACACCACTACCAGTAACTACTCCATCTCGAGCGTGAGTAAGGGGGTAGAGTTTGCCAACTTCATGTTTGAGGCTTTTGGACCATTTGCAAAGGGAACTGCAAACCCTCGACCGTTCGATATAAGCGCTACTAACCATACTACTATCGATGGATTCGACTTCGACATCGAAACCCAATTCGGTATGATCAAACTAGCTTCTAGATGACTATTCAAAGTTTTGCTAATCAGTTTATTTAGCGAATCAAGAACCATATATTGCTATGGTCAACCAGTTACGCTCTCGTATCACGACATCCGGTGCAGACATGATCCTCACTGCTGCTCCACAATGCCCTCAGGCTGACAATTACTTTGACATGAAGAACATTTTGATGTACGCCAGATTCGACAAGATTTGGATCCAGTTCTATAACAACCAAGGCTGTGATGCAATCAACGGTGGTTTCAATTATAAGGACTGGGAGAACTTTATTTCGGGTACAGTAAACGCGGCCGCAGAGCTCTTTATCGGCCTGCCCGGCAGCTCTACTGCCGCCACGACGGGTTACATCAGCCCTCAAGCTGCGAAGGACCTCCTTTGCACTTACAAATCGTACCCTCATTTCGGCGGTGCTATGCTGTGGGATGCTCACTATGCAGTGGTTAATACAGAAGATGGCAAGACCTATTATGATTCTGTAGCTGAAGCTCTAAAGTGCGGTGGCTGCCCGGGAGATATTTGTCACCCAAGTCAGCCGACTACAACCAGCTCTACCGTATCGTCTTCTAGCATCACGACAACATCCAGCTCGGTTGCGACCAGCAGCAGCTCTGTTTTACCAACAAGCAGTTCCGCTTCTTCTTCTTCAACTTCGAGTTATACTGCTACAACCGCTAGTTCCACGATTTCCACCAGCAGCGCTACCAGCAGCGCTGCCTCAGCTTCAACCTCAAGCTATGTCGCTTCTAGCTCTAGTGTTACAAGCAGCTCATCCTCTACAACTTCATCTACTTATGTAGATACTACCTCTAGTTCAGTCGCCTCGAGTTCTACAACGTTAAGTTCTACGGCGTCAAGCTCTACGGCGTCAAGCTCTACGGCGTCAAGCTCTACAACATCTAGCTCTACAACATCTAGCTCTACAACATCTAGCTCTACAACATCTAGCTCTGCAATTATCTCGTCGTCTGCTACCGGATCCTCTAGTTCCTACATCACGAGTAGCAGCTCTGTTTTCTCGGCTACCAGCACACCTGTTATCTCTAGCTCCTCCGGGTCAGTTAACGAATCAACGTCGAGCTCGTCTATAAATTCACCTACCGTTAGTGTGTCGGCGACCATAACGGCTTCGACTAGCAGCTCTTCTGTCGCTTCTAGCAGCCACTCAGTGGTGACGCCTACATATAGTGTTGCAACTAGTTCTGTATCTCCCGTCTCGAGCACTGATGAGACCAGCACCCACGAGGCCAGTTCGACGACCTACATTGCATCCAGCACGGCTGAAGTCTCGGCTTCAATTACCTCTTATCCCGCTGTGCCCTTGTCCACGTCGAGCAGCGAAACGACATGCAGTGATGACATAAGCTCTACTTCTTATGTAGGAGCAAGTACGGCAAGTACTTCAGCTTTAACAATTTCTACCCCAGTTTCTTATGTCGTTTCGTCCTCTGGCCCTGTCACCTCATCTGCAGTGAGGTACACTACCAGCACCGTCGTCACAACAAAGGTCTACACAGTGACCTCATGCGCTCCGACTGTCACCAACTGCCCAGCGAGTGGTGCTGTCGTCACTGAGACTATCCCTCTGTACACCACTGTGTGCCCCGTGACCGCGACCGAGACCGCGAGTGCGACACCAGCAACGTACCCAACCGGGTCGGCAAGCTATCCGGTCGGCGGCGAAAGCTCCGTGACGTACCCAGCCGCTTCGGCCAGCTATCCCGTTGGTGGCAATAGCCTAGGAACCTCGGAAACTTACCTGGTTTCGCCAACCAGCTCCCCGTTGGGAGGCGCCAGCCCCTCAGGATCTGAGATCTCGGCGATATACCCCGTTGAATCGACCAGCTACCCAGCGGGAGGTATCAGCCCTTCAAACTACCCTGCCGCACCGACTTACCCAGGTAGCATCGTCACCACTGTCATTGCTGCCCCTGTTTATCCAACGGCCGGTACCAACACCACACTGGTCTCCAGTTATGGCACTGGTTACCCTACCACGAGCAAGGGCAGCGGCCCTAGTACAACCGGATATACGGGCTCTGGATACCCGACTGTACCCGTTGTAACGGCCGGTGCTAGCAAAGCCGTGAGTATTGGCTTTGGTGGTCTGGTGATAGCTGGCTTCTTTGCCCTGTGAGGGACAGCTAAGTTGATAATGGCCAATGAAAATGTGTCTTTGATATAGGTAATGTATTTATAGAACCTTGTTCATAGGTATTGTTCTGTAAAATACATGATGTACTACTCAGTACTTTGATACTGTCTTCTCGTACAAATTTCGTCGACTCGTGCGCAAAGCAATGTGTGAGTTTAGCTGTAAGCTGAAGCCGTAACAATGTTGAAGTGAAGCAAATGGAGCAAGTGGCATCTTGTCTCATTTCGAGATCAATAAGCCCCTAACTTTGCGATACACACTAGAAAATAAGCTGACTTTGCAGGCGAATTCCTTTCCCCAACATGAAAACTTCGAAACTTGGGAGCTAGCTGAGCTAAGGACTGTTTTTAGGCCCGCTTGAGAGTATCCTTCGACCGTTTCGGACCAACCGTGATACAATCATTCTTTTCTGACGCGTCGCTCTTCTCTTACAGAAATCAGACAGAGCTATGCAGCATTATTATCTCGTGATTTTCGGAACGCGTGACATTTACTGCAGGTTTGTTGAATTACGGAATGGATCAAAAGAACTGATTTAATGCTTTCGAGGGGCGTATGTACGAAGTATCTAGTAGCTACGGCTAATTAAATCCAGCTGAGCAGGACGCTACACAACACGCCATGTGGGGAGATTTAATCCCAGCCGGTGGAAGAAATTACCTAATTTGGCAAACTAAATGCCAAGCTTATCTAGATACAGTAGACATTAAATAGTAGACATTGATCTATACTGTTAACGAAATGATTGTCACCAATTGGAGCGAACAATCGTGTTCAGTAGCATCAGTGGTTTAGTGGTAAAATCCATCGTTGCCATCGACGGGCCCCGCGTTCGATTCGCGGCTGATGCATTCTTTTTCTATATCATTTAATGCTTCTTTTTTTGTTCCGGGTTTTCTTACCTTATTGGTAATTAATCTCTTAAGGCGCCATTTCTTATTTTTTTCCGTCATGTTGGCGTCCTTCAATAAGAGCCCGATAGTATTATTAACATGTTCTACCCCTGGGTGTACCTGTTGCGGGCCCACGGTGGTGCAGTGATTTATATTATTGAATATCGCGTAAATACACTTGTTGGGTCGCGTCAGGACAGATACGTAACAATTAATAAATGAGCCTTTTTTTAGATCCATACGGCCATTACGTACTGGGAAGGCAACTCAATACAATGGCGACCATTGCTGAGCATCGCTCCCGCTAGTCGCAAATTTGCAGCCATGATCTTTCCCGATCATGGTATCCGTCACACCTGGAATCTCATTTTGACACCAGACGTTCGGCCCAGACACTGCAACATCCAAAATCAGTAATTTCCCGATTGGGTAAAGTCTGTCAGAGTTTCGGGTGCATGCAAGTTCTCAAGACACGGAGTTGCTTAGAACAGGAGGATTTTGTCTTTAAGACCAGCGAGAGTAGGTCGAGATAACTCGAGATATTACTTACTATTCGCGAGCGCAAACCCAAAGCCCTCTTTCCCAACAAGCCATTCGGGATCTATGCATCCAACAGCCAGCTCGTACTGCTCACACGATTCATCGCGCCAGTACAAGAAGCTCCCACAGTTTGTGCAAATGCCCCGCTGGTACCCTGGCGTTGCAACGAAGTTCTTGAGGGTCTCTGATGGTGTTGTGTACGTTAGGCTCTTAACTGGTATCGTATGTGATGCAAAAAACAGCGACCCGGTGCTGCGACGGCATTGCGTGCATTGACAGCTCCCGCTCTGCTTTCTCATTAGCTACACGCTGAGCTCTATTTCCCTATCCGCTTCCACTCACCGACTTCAAAAAATCGTGATCTTTTGGAAAGTCGATTCGGTATCGGATCGACCCACACAAACAGCCCCCTGTGACAAAGCCTGGGGGCTTGGCGAAATTCTCGAGTGTTGGTCCAGACATGTTCGTCAGTGGCAATACGGGATTGTGGTTTTCTATTACTTTATCCTTTTCTATTTTAGTTAATAGGAAAGGTAGTCGAATCAAAATAACAGAAGGGAAAATATATTAACTTCAGCGATCAAGATAACAATGGCAAACATCCCCGCATGTCAAACGCGCCTTGCGCCCTACAAAGGCCGTATGACGCAGACGCCGTCACAGCATGTTATCTACATAGGCATTGATTATTTTCGCATATACATGATTTATACAGACACCCTTGGGTATGTGTTCTCTATTATCGTGTCCCATCATGATAATCCATCTCATTTTATCTTCACCTTAGGCCACCCACTATAATCAGAGATCTTATCGATGCTACTAATCTGAGACACAATCGAATCCCTCTAAATCTGATGTGTTGAAATTCGAGCATATCCATTGTGATTTCCCCGTCGGCGACAAGATAGATATATTTCTTGCATGGAAGTTGTAGCATTGCTGTGAGACGTGTGAGCTAGGATCTCATCTTGCGCTAATTACCATTGATTGAGAGCTTACCTCAGGCGAAGAACAGACCAGCGTGCCGACATGTGGATCATACTTCTTTGATGTGGTTCCCCACATATCGATGAAGTAGATGTCTGAGATGGTCATGTTGGATGGATACAACTGGCAGAGCGTCTGGTTTGACTGGCCATAACATTGGTTGACCTCGATCGCCCAGTCATTATTGATGCTATGAAACCTCTCGTACGTGACGTTCTTCACGTATCCAGAGCCTCCGCCGCCAGACAAAGTGGGCTGGAAAACTGATTGCACGCCAGGCCAGACCTTGATCCGGGCCGCGTCGCTTGCATTGGACATCGTGTTATTGTAGACATATACGTTCTCTACTATGTCGTACTCGCCAATGTACTGGCCCAGTGAGCCCACAGAGATACCGTGGGATCCGTTACACTGTAGGCCTTGGACGACGATATTGGTACTGTTGGGCTTGAACGAAACGCAGTCGTCTGTGTTGTGGATTACCGAGTTTTGGATGACAACATGATCTGATCGATACGTGTCCCAGCCGTCAGAGTTCTTTACCGAATTCGAATTAGATGACTTCGCTGTGAGGACCATGTCGCTAATGAGAACGTCTGAGCTGTTGGCGACGAAATTGAACCACTATCTGTACGTTAAGTTCTGGCTCGACCGCGAAGACTACTGGTGTGTAACCTACATTAGGAGGATTAGTCATGTGTATCCCTGAAACGGAACCGCCTTTAATCCCGTCCAGCACCAGAGCGATCGGCCGCAGCAGAGAAGAATTCGCCGCGAAGGCATCCCACCACGGCTGCCCATTGCCATTGATGAGGCCTACGCCTCCGCCATAGATGTTGACGTCCTTTCCACCGAATCTCCAGAAGGCAATCGAGGTTTGGAATGCATACTTGAAGGCATTAGTGGACCAGTAGTCGATATCGGCCGTGAATGTGATCGAGCCGGAGAGCGCGACGTCGACACTCTCGAGGAAGGTTAAGTCCAGTGCAGTGCCGATCGTGTATTTCCCGCCGAGAACCACTGTGCCCCCGTGGTTGCAGTCACGGAAAGCTTGAAGGATATGAGGCGCATCATCTGTCCCGTTTCCTAGTGCTTTTACAGAGCAGCTCTTTGTCCGAGGTAGTGAGATCGGCCTTAGTCGGCCGCTGTTGTACGGGAAAGGGCGGATATCCGGCCGTGGAATAATGGCCTTGTAAGGTTCAGCATCGATGCCGGGCGTTGCAGTAACCAGCGCTGTTAGGACAGTGATGGCCGCAGCCCCTACGACTTTCTGGAGCATAATTGTTGTCTGAGATGCTTCAGCTAGCAAACAAGACTGCTAGGCTAATTTCCTGAGATGATATACGAAGTTGTACGTACATCACGGCTGTAACATTCTTAAGAGAACCATATTATTAGGTAATCCAGTGAGCCGGTAGAACTCGTTAACCGTTGCCCAAGGCAAAAACCCCGGTGATCATTTTATTTCCACAAGGTGGAGGATATTTTTCCGTCACTCATAGACCTCCTTTGGCTAGAGCTTGCTTACTCTGGCTAGGGGACTTGCGACGACATTTTTGGGGAAGCTGGGGTAAGCTGGGGTTTTGGGATGGAGAAGCTTCTGAAATTTGATGCATCCCCCGAATAAGCATGTATTAGCAAGGATTTTAGCCGGGACACAGCCATTTACCGTTACAAATAAGTTTCTCCGCACAGCAGGCTTTCTCCAAGCGCTCGAGACTGCTGCTCTCCATTAATCGTTAGGTCTGCTAGACGTTAGTTGATTGTTCCACCACTCACCATTAATACCGAGCCAAGGACAGGACTCATCATAATATCACCTACCAGGTCGCTCGTCCTAGCATCGATAAAGCTATTGCGATATGAAGTATTATGTTAGCTGTCAATGACGGCACAAGTGGTCCAGATATTACAAAGCTTGAATCAAATAGCAGCCGCTAATAGGGAGCGAATCACGTCTGGGATAATATATCGTCAGACTCAGATCTAGGTGGCAATTACTGAGTGTTATTAATTCTACTTTCATTTACATGGCTCGGCTCAGGGAATTATTGGTCTTGATATTGGGACTCGGTGGAGTCGCCGCAATCACGAAACATGCACCAGCTCAGACATTCAAGGAATGCCAGAAAAAAACTCTCGATCCACTGAAGGGTTGTCCTCCCGGAACCCTCTATGTGAGCCAGTCAGATAAGAGAGCCGGTTTCCAGACAATTCAAAGTGCAATTGCATCGATTCCAAACGACACCACTTCTCATGTCATTCTGATAGCGCCTGGCATCTATACGGAGCAACTGAACGTAACACGACGGGGTCCGCTTACACTGCTGGGGGTCTCAGACCGTCCATCGCTCAGGGAGTCGTACGCGGATATCAGCTACAACTCGACGCCTTCAAACGAGGTACAGGTCTACTGGAATTCGGCGAACCACGATGCAATCTTCCCGGACAATGTGTACACCGGCGTGTTGACCGTCGGGCCTAATCTGAACGCCACCTTGACCGGATCCGGTCCGACAGGGTTCCCAGTACCAGACGACACGCCGTTTGGATGCACGGATTTCCGAGCGTACAACATCGACTTCCGTAATGAGTTTGCACCTTACTCGGATGGGCCGGCGCACGCAGTAGGCGTCAGTCGCGCGAATGCCGGGTTCTACTCCTGTGGCTTCTATAGCTGGCAGGATACGGTGCGTCCCTTCCTTTCAAGCCTTCCACCACATTCATGACTAACACATGGTGAAAGGTCTACATTGGGAAACTAGGCAACGCATACTTCTATGATGTTGTGGTGGCTGGGCAGACCGATTTCCTATACGGTTTCGGCACGCTGTTCCTTACATATTCGACGCTGTCGTTGCGGAATTGCGGGGGCGGCATCACGGCGTGGAAAGGGACGAACACGACGTTCGCCAATAAGTACGGCGTCTACATCTCGGATTCGCAGGTCCTCGCGGCCAACAGCTCCATCGCGCCCATCATTGCGGACAGGTGTTCGCTCGGTAGGCCGTGGAACGATGAGCACCGCAGCCTGTTCATCAATACGTATCTCGACCCCAGTATCTTGCCCGCTGGTTACACCCAGTGGAGCGGGAAGCCCAATGGGGGCATTGGTGTAAATACTTCTATGGCAGTGTATAATGTCTATGGGCCGGGGTACGATGCTGCGGCTGAGCAGGCTAGCAACATCACAAAGATATTTGATGACCAGGAGGCCAAGCCTTACTTGAGGCCGGTAGATGTGTTTATGACACCGAAGGGAGAGCAGCCGAATATTGCGTGGATAGATCCTACGGTCATGCTTCGGACTAGATACTTATCCAAGAGTCGTAAATAAGTTAGGGCCCGCACGACTTGAGGCATACGCCCCTTCAAGTCGCATAATTTAAAAGTATTGCACTACTATAGGCATTGAAATCTTTACATCT